ACCTGTGTGAGGAAAAATGAGTGCGATCTTTTTAACATATAAATAATGGTAGCAAGGAGGAGGGAGATTGGGAGCATGATTTCGAATTGAAAGCATTAATGATATTATGCGATAAGTGATGCGTTGCAAGGCGTATCTTTTATTTAACTGACATGAACTTGGAAGAAGGACGCATTAAGGTGGAAAAAGCTTCAGGCTTGCGTTATCGCAACAAGATGTGGAAATAATTCACTTTATCAGCTTATTATTACAGTAAAATTCTAGCTTGCGCGAAATTTAAACAAATGGGTAGGGTCCTATAGACGAAAGGAAGATACTGCCATTAGTGACCTTTGTTCTAGGATCAACTTCAATTTGAACCACATAGTATTCTAGGTCTCATCCTCCAATTGAATCGTTACTAGAGATATGAGCCACACCTCAATACGCTATTCAATTTAAGCGTTGACATTCATTGCGCGAGGAACAGTTCGTTGGTCATGGATACACCCACAGCCGCAGCGCCGGCATGATTGTATGAAGTCACCCAGCCACCCTGCCAGGTAGTTTCACATGCTGTGGTGGTGTCAAGCCGAGTTCGAAATGTGCCTTTGGGCGAATCCTCGTCCTCACATTCCTCCGCAATATTCGCTGCGTTGTCACCTTTCCCTTTCTTGGCCTGCAGTGTGAGGCAGGAAGAGGCGGTGTTGTCACTGGCTAAATTGTGCTTTGGGTACAAGGAAACAATGCGAACTTCCGAATCGATGCCGGCGCACGCGACTGCCCGCCCACCCCCTAATGAGGCTATGCTGCCAATTTCGTATTTGAGCACATTCAGCGAGGTCCAAAGGCGAGTGAACTTGCGGAAGTCATACACGCACAAAGCACGGTCAATGCACAATGCCACCTCAAAAGAGTTGGCGGTGCCACAGACATCCCGGATGGTACCTGCTGAGCTGGTCAGACGGCTTGCCACAAGTGGGGGAGATGAAGCCGATCCTGCTTTTGGGTTCGCGCCATTTTTCCCATTCGAAGCGTCGGTGGTTCCCTGCGACTGCCGCACATGCTGCGTAGCATCCGCGAGCTGCGCGGTGAGAGACATCACCACACCAGGGCACCGCACATCAAAGAGCGTGGCCAGGCAGCCCTCCGTGATGAGCACGGTGTCCACCAGGAGTGAATTCCCACCCGAACCCGCCTCATGGCTTGACCACGACGAGCCGCCCGGCACGAAGAGACCGGTCGGGCCGTGCGTGGTGCCGTAGGTCCGCACCACCGCCCGCGCGACGGGGTCCACCAACCGCAGATCGGAGAACCCCTCACGCGCGGAGAAAAGGCGGGGGCCCGAGGGGGCCCACGCGAGACCCGCCCACCCGGGCGACCCACGTGAAACCCCGAAAAGCGCGCCCACCGACGGGCCCTCGACCCCATCGTCGGAAGGGTAGGCCAGCGAGGTGAGGACGGACCTGGACGGCACGACGAGCTCCCACGTTGTAGGGAGGGACGAGAGCGGGAAACCCTCCGCGCGGGGACGCTGGAGGGGTCGTTCGTTGGGATCATCGAGGTCGATCGGTCGGGATCGCTTTTGCCCAGACGATACTGACGACGCGAAGGCGTCAACCCCGTCCACCTCGCTAGTACCTACAGCCGTCGAAGGAAGCGCCGGGTGCTGGAGTTTATAGATGTTCCCTAAATCATCGCTTACCCAGAGCAACGGCATCATACGAGGGATTTCTGTCTTCTCAAGGGAGGAGTTATCGTAGGCATCGGGAAGCATTGTTGCAATCCTGCGATCAGATGGAATCCCAGAACTTAGGAAACATCCCGAGCTCCCTACTTTCTTCTTATGGTCCATAGTTGGGCCTCCATCATCGTCGCAGCTTGTAGGATAATACCAAGCAACTTTTTTCCCCGTCTCACTATCCACTGTAAGGAAACGTGCCAGATCATAGGTCGGCAAGCTAGTTGATGCTTTTTCGTCGCGACATCCTTCTTCTCGTTCCGTAGAGTCGCCATTGATGTTAGTAATGCTTGATTCAGTAGCACCACCATTGTCCTCACCCCGCAAGCTAACTGAGGTGCCTATTTTCATCGTGGGGTCGCACGTTACCCACACAACATGAGGTCTGCAGCCCCTTCGAACAGAAGTGCGTTTTGGGGTTAGTTGATGATCAAACGGAGACGGGAAAACATTCTGGATGATGGAAAAGTAATAATCCATTCTGAGATTTTTATCGCCCTCGATTTTTCCGTTGTATCTTAGAACTATTTCGTTTAAGAAAAAACTCGCCCTCGTGAAGACAATCAGGCCCTCTCTATAAAAAAAAAACGACAAAAAAATTATAAGCCTGATTCAAAATTCTAGAAAAAGTTCAACCAGTTGACAAAATGTAATGGTACGAAGAAATCTCATTGAATAATAAGGTAGGAAGTGAATAAACACATTTGAAACTTGAATGGATCATTTTTTAGGGAACCTTCAAGCATTTTTTGAGAGAGGGGCTCATATTATCTTAGCAACAAAATATAAAACACCAGATACATACTTCGCAGTAACTAAAGATCCTTTGCAGACCATTGAATGTTGAGTAACGTGGGATAAGAAGACTTCGTTTGAATAAAAGCGTAAAACAAACGTACAACAAGTTATTTCTTTCTCTCTTTTCAAATAATAAAGAGCAACAATCGTTCCATCGGTAAAGACAAACTGCAGCACATGACTTGGAAGTAAACTATTGGCCTTAAACATTTTCTATGGGCTTTAAAAAAACATGTAGCCAAGCACGAAAGGAAAATAGTATCTTCACCCTGCACGGCACTCCTTTGCGTTCCATAAGAAAATATATACACGAAAGGGCATCCCATATTTCATCGTTCACGACTCCTCAGGTACTTAATATCGCTCAAGTCCTCACATTTAAACCTTTCTCAACAAGCTGCATTTTAGGTACTCTACAAGATCACCCAATAAAATCACTTAGTCATACATACCATGAGATGCCGTTAGTTATGCTTACCATATCCCTCCCCCTCCCCCCTCCCTCCACACACACAACCTCTTGTCCCTAATTTATTTCAGTGTTATGTTTCATTTCATAAAGTGGGAAAGGGGGGAAACAAGAAAGTTAAGCGCATAATCAACTGGATATGGAAAGGCAAGGAGAAGCTGCCCTTTCGATTCAAAGTGACCAATACTTCGTCGAAGTCAGGGAGTCTCAGTCTACGAATAACAAAAGGACAACAGCAACAACGCACTTGGAAAAAGAGAGAAAACAGTTCAAAAAATATGAAAATCAAGTAAACATACAAGCTACGCAAACTATAAGGATGCTGTTTATCATTGATATACTCATGTACATTTTTGCATGTCATTTTTCCTATTTTTTTCGTCATTAACAAGACAAGCTATTTAAGAAAATATTAGCGAGCAAAATATATACGCATGTAAAAACGCAAGTAACACATCGCCCACCTCCTCTTCAGCACAATGTTATTCTTCTCTTTTGGTATCAGAGGAAGAAGTATAGTTATGGGGTGGGTGGTCTTTTTGTCCTATGCTATGCTGGATCTCCTTTCTTTTAGCCAGCGCAGGATATATGCGACTGCATTCTGGGGTTGCTCCTCGAGGAGGTCGGCGCTCAATTTTTCGAAAAGCTGCGGCACACATGACTCGTGAAAGAAGTCTTTTATATCGTCCTTGGCCCCGCGCTCGCTATTGTGATCCCCCGCGCGTGTGTCCGACGGCGTCGGAGTTTGCGACGTGGGAATATGGTTTTCATCCTTGCGTTTGCTCCTATTTGTCGAGGGCTGTGCATCACCTCGCTCGATTGTGTTTCGACTGACGAGATGCCCACTCCGAGGCATCCCGAGCTCCCGCTGCGCGTGGCAGCTGGAGGTGCCCGACTCCTCGCCGAGGGAAGCCCTCCTCATGCTATTGTCGACCGAAGGCAGCAGTGGCAGAGTGCTGGAGCACAACGCCCCTGGTGCTACTGCACCACCTGGCCCTAAGTCAGCACTATAGATATTCCTATTTTTGCTAACAGTACTGTTCATAAACTTAAATGATAAGTCCTTTGAAGAATTAGATGTTTCAAAGGTGGCGGGGTATCGATAATCCTGTGTGGAAGGTGACGAGGCTGGTGTTCGGAACGCCGTTTGAGGAGTGCCACCAGGGTAACTGAGCGTGCTCGGCACTTGGTTGCTGGAATTGTGAAGTCCTGAGAAAAGCAACGGCACCGCCCCCTCCTTGAATAATTCTTCATGGTTGATGGTATCTTTTACAGGGCCTGCAGCTACATTGTCCTGAAGACGAGGGAGGGACCAAGTCGACAGGGTATCGAGCGGTGTCCTCAGACCAGATTTCGAACGTATACGCGTTCCTTGGCTTATACTACTAACTAGATTGTTGTGGCTCGACATTGAGTCGAATTTCGCCGATTCGTCGGTGATAACAGAAGGTGTCAGCTGTTTGCACACCGCCACCTCACTTGGACCGAGTGATGTCAATGACATGTTGGAATTTAGAGTCTGACCATAAAACTCTTCACCGGTCGGTACTTTTTCACCCGGAGGGTGACCTGTTGTGTATACCCCTTTGCTTACCACCACCTTTGAAGGAGTAGCGGTAGAGTCACGACTGTGAATTGGTGCGGGAGTTGGCGTCGGCGTCTTGACTGTGTGATCTCCAGCAGATAGAGTTATTCCGGGAGTCGAGCCGGACGTATGAAGATTCTTTTGAAACATTATTGAAAGAAATTATCTGAAAGAAGTTACTGTGAAAACTATGGAAATATGGTCTGATTGACTCCCTTTTTATGCAACCACACGATGCTTGTATCAAATAACTAATCGTATAAAATGATATCTTTATGTTCGCAGATAGATTCTTTTATAAAAGAGTTCGCACACACACACACACTCACACAAGCACACGGGAACGAAGATAACTATATTCAATATGTATCTAAAGGTGTTATCTACGAGTCTTTCTGAAGAAAATACTACATAAGCAGAAAAAAAGTACCAAAATGGTCGAAAAGTTCGGAATCATTTAAAGAACATATTCCCTGTATCTGCAACAGAACGAAAAATATGAGACAGAACATGTATCTATTGATTTTCATTCTTGAATTTCTTCATGCATCGAATATCTCCTTTATTCTCACGAGATGGTCCTGCAAATCAAAATATCTTTCTATTCACAACGTATAAACACCAGTTGCATCTTCAACAAAATTAGCACAATATCCCTATCTTATTTTTTTCCTAAACAGCATAAACTAAGGCGCTTTTTAAAAGTATTTGGAGTCATGAGGGTGGCAGCGTTTGGATTAGTTGTTAACCCTTAAGTGAAATCTATGTCTTCGATGTCAGTCATTATTGTTTGCGTACTGAGCGCTTTTCCCCTCACTAGCTCGTATATTCATACATAAATTGTAAGCAACTCACATGTCAAGCCAGATAGGAAACAAAAGGAAGGACGAAAAGGTTCAAAAATTATATGAAATCATTACAGCTCACCCTTTCCTCAGTTCTGACTCCCGTGCACCTTACGAAGCATCGAGGCGAAGCTCATGAAAAGTAGCCAAAGATGTTTAAACAGAAAAGAAGGGCATACATATGCTCTATAGTTTCAATATATAGGCATCTATATCTATATCTATATCTTTATATATCTTTATATATAAGCAAGAAAGATTACAAATCTTCAAGGTAACGGACACCCAAATACCGGAATAAAGGCATAGGCATCCGCCCTTCCATTAAATTGCATTAATAAGCCGTGAAGAAAGAAAGATATATAAGAGTGGGATATTTAAAAATCTTCATCAAAACTCAAAGTAGTACAGTGCTTCTCCACAAACATTTTCACTAATGGCCTTTGCGAATTTTGAATGCGCCCAATCTCAGCCTCGGCGAATGCCTTTCGCATCATTACTTCGAGCTGAGTGCTGTCCATTTGCTCCCCACCCTCACTCGCGGCGCACGCCATCGCGTTGTGTTTGAGCAGGATCTGGTTATCTAACACCACAAACGTCGGGATCGTCTGCACATCAAAGCACTCAAAGATCGGCGCGGCCAGGTCCATATCCGCCTTCACCAGCACCTGCACGCTCTCCGGCAGGTCCTCGGTGATGATCTGCGGCATCGCGCCGACGATGCGCATGCAGGGCGGGCACCAACTCGCCCCGAAGTACATCAACGTCCGACCGTTCGCC